TTTTATATCAGCTGCCGTTAAAGGGGGCTGGGGGTGGAGATGCCTCCCCGTGGGGGAATGTGCATGTGCTCCTACGTTGGGGTTCCTCCTTCCAGTTACTCAGCCCCCTTCCCATTACTCTCACTAAATTCTTGATCCCATGTTTTAAGGCAAAACAAGTCAAACCAAGAAGTAAAACACTACCATTAATGCAGAGATGGGGGTTTCTGCAGCCAGAGTGCTGAGCACAACTTGGCTGCTCCTGTCCCTGGGGGTTTGGGGACAGCACGGGGAGGGGGAGCATGTCCCACCCTGCTCCTCGCAGCCCCAAAACCTTTGGCTAATTCCTCAGTTTTCCCCCTTTTGCCAGGGGAATAATAACAATTAGCTCTTGAGCAGCAGGGGAAAAGAGGGAGCTGCTCAGTGTTCCGTGGGCTCGTGGGTGGGAAGGTGTTTGGTGTGCCCAGCTCGTGTCCGGCCTCACCCGTGTCCGTGTGTCTCTCGGCAGGTTGGTTTTGACCCACACCCACCCATGCGAGCCCCCGGCCTGCCCTCCAGCCTGGCCTCCATCCCCGGGGGGAAACCGTAAGCCCCTTTTGGTTTTTTATGGATTTGGGGGGGGATCAGTGCGGGCGGGAGGGAGGTGAATCCTTCACCCGGGGCTGGGTTCAGCCAAGCCCCCGGTCGGGGCACAGCGTGGCAGCCACACCACAAAGCCACCCGCTGCCCCCCGTGAAACCTCCCCCTCTGGGCTGACCCCCGTGCCCTCCCGTGGCAGAGCCTACTCGTTCCACGTGAGCGCCGACGGGCAGATGCAGCCGGTGCCGTTCCCGCACGACGCGCTGGCGGGGCCCGGCATCCCCCGGCACGCGCGGCAGATCAACACGCTGAGCCACGGCGAGGTGGTGTGCGCCGTCACCATCAGCAACCCCACCCGGCACGTCTACACCGGCGGCAAGGGCTGCGTCAAGATCTGGGACATCAGCCAGCCCGGCAGCAAGAGCCCCATCTCCCAGCTCGACTGCCTGGTAAGGGGCTGGGGCGAGACCTGGGGGGTCCTGCTGCTCCCAGGCGTGTGTCCCCTCCTCCCCCACCTCTAATGCCATTAGTCATCTTCTTCCCATTGACATCAACATCTCTTCCCAACATTGCCATCTATTTTTCCTCTTCTCCCCCTGTTACCATCCCTTTCCTCTTCCCTGTTACCATTTGTACCCCCATTACCATCTTTTTCTTCTTCCCATCACATCTTTGCCCCTCTTAATGTCTCTTTTCCTCTTCCCCCTTTAACATCTTTTCCTTTCCCCCTTTAACATCTTTTCCTCTTTCCCCCTTTAACATCTTTTCCTCTTTCCCCCTTTAACATCTTTTCCTCTTTCCCCCTTTAACATCTTTTCCTCTTTCCTCCTTTAACATCTTTTCCTCTTTCCCCCTTTAACGTCTCTTTTCCTCTTCCCCCTTTAACATCTGCTTTCCTCTTCCCCCTTTATCGTCTCTTTTCCTCTTTCCCCCTTTAACGTCTCTTTTCCTCTTCCCCTGTCATCCTCCCTTTCCTCTTCTCCCTTATCACCATCTCTTTTTCCTCTTTTCTTGTCGCCCTCCCTTTTCCTCCTCACCCCCTTTAACGTACCTCTCCTCTTCCCCATTAACATCTCTTTCCTTTTCCCCTCTCCCCCCATCCACACCTGCTCCCCGTCCCCCCCGTGACCACACCTTTCCCCCCCAGAACAGGGATAACTACATCCGCTCCTGCAAGCTGCTCCCTGACGGCCGCACGCTGATCGTGGGGGGCG